GTCTCTCTTTCTTTCTTGGTACCAGGAATTGAACTCAGGGGCATTCAACCACTGAGCTCCATCCCCAACCCTATTCTGTATTTTATCTAGAGACAGGGACTCACTGAGTTGCTAAGTGCCTCACCGTTGCTGAGGTTGGCTTTGAACTTTCGACCCTCCTGCCTCAGCCTCCTGAGCTGCTGGGATGACAGGCGTGGGCCACCGCTCCTGGCTTCTTTATTTACTTATTGTGTGGTGCTGAGGATGGAACCAGTTCCTCTCACGTACAAGTCAAGGGCTGTACCACTAAGCCGCAGCCCCAGTCCCACTGTCATGTATAATTATAATGCACCAATACAAAAAGAAAAATATGACCAGCTAGAGATGGAAAAGAGGTGTGCAGGTCTCTGGGGACCAGAAGTGGATAGTTTGCCCCCAGCATCTCTTTGATATGGGAAGTGCCCTATCAGGTACAAGCATGTCCTCTTCCCTTCTCCCTTTCCTAGGTCCGTGTGTCTGTTGCCCCATCTGTCTGACACATCTCATTCCTTCATTTACCTATGGGTTCTTTCATTCCATCTTTATTGAGGGCCTACTATAATGAGTCAGGTGCTGGATAGAATATTCAAGAAAGTAAGCAGGGTTATCTTCACGGGAATCGGTGTCGAGAGCCACAGCCGAAGGGGCCCCAGCAAACTTCCAGCTGCCAGCAAACTTCCAGCTGCCAGCTGATGATTGGCTCACAGCGGCCCCAGCAACTTCTAGCTGATTGGCTCCTCTGCGGTGATGCTCACTGGGGGACTTCTTTGGCTCCGCCCATGCAACCCAGCCAATCGGCCTCAAGAGCAGGAGGATTGTGGGAGGTGGTGAGGCTTGTTTTGGGTGAGAGGCTTGTGGGAAGCCGGTGGTGGCAGTTGGGCTCTGAGGGTTTTTCCTGAGGAGCTGTTTTGTTTGGTGTGTGTGGTTCTAAAAATAAAGTTAGTTTCTTTTGACAAGTGGCTCCTGAATTGTGCCCAGCCAGACTGCGGCAAATGGGAGTCTATAACTTTACAGGAAAGAAACACTTGTTCGATGACAATTATTTAGTGCTTTGCAGGGTCCCAATGAAAATGCAGGACGATGGCTGTCTCCTAGTGGGAGTGCAAAAAAATTCTCTAAAGGAACAGACATTGTAGCAGTGATCAGTAGCATAATAGGGCTTAGGCAGAGAGTTTAGAGAAAACTGTCTAGGCAGAGACACCCAGAAGAAAACAGCGCAAAGGAGAAACAGGGAAAAGGAGTGTGAGTTAGGGGCAAAGAGAGGAAGCAGCAAGCCCGAGAAGCTGAGGTGAGGCCATACATGTCCCCGTCATCCCAACCTCCAAGCTCCAGTCCAGGTTTTAGATTTGATTTTAAAAGCAACAAGGAATTCTTGGAAGACTTTGCAATAGAGGAGCTCTAGAATCCTACTCTTCAGTTACCAGGCTCTCCTGAAGTTCAGTAATGACACGCCTCTTAATTTGGAAATTCCGTCAGAGGCTCACTCTTCAAGTTCGTTTCCACCATTCCTCAGCATTTTCTGAGGTTCCTGCCAAGAGCCATGTGGCGGGTGTCAGACCTTCCATCAGTGACTAGTAATGTCAAAATTTCAATGCTCCTGTGATAGGCCACCTAAAAGGTTAAGGAATCGTGTTGTGGATTCATCAGATGTGAAAATCCCAGCTTCTGTACTAGGGTATGAACAAAGTGTAGCAGAGAGTAAGGTTCCCCCTCCTAACCCAAATCCACCGAACAAGTACTAAGAACCTTGCTTTCAATTTTCCCTCGGAAGCTTTGGCTCATAGTGGGAGGACATCTTAGGATTGATTTTGCATTCATTCTATGAAATGCCACGGTGAAGAGGATGTTGACCTAGTTTCCTAAATGAATGGAGACTGCTCCGTCAGCATCCCAGTGAGGTTAGGTGAGGGTAGGCTGCCGTAACAGCAACGCAAAACCAGAGTGGTTTAAAGAATGAAGATGTGCCTAACTTTCCTTCACATAATATTCCTGATGTGAGCTCAAGTCAGAGAGAAAGCTCTGATTCTCTTGGCCATTGGCGAACTCAACTTCCTTGCAAGTTGTTACACCAAGATCCTCTGGGATATTGTCATCAGCTGCATAAATGACAGTATGTTGTTGCTTCCTTGAGATTCCAGGTATTGAGAGGCTGGAATAGAACCTCTCAGAAGACATTGCCAGGTATATTAAATGGCACACATCACTTCTGCTTACACCCCACTGGTAAAAGTGCCCAGGATAGAACATAGTGACCCATGATCATATTTACTTGCAAAAGAGGTTGTGAACTATAATCTACACGGCTGGCCGCAGTTCTATCACAAGGAGGAAGGGAGAGCGGATTTTGATGTGTGGCTATAACTCTGCACCACACCCAGTAGAGTAGATTGATGGCAAAACAGAGAAGATGAGAGACTAAGTGGAGGGGTGCCTAAGTGTCCTGGCTGAAGCCACCCCGTATCGGTTCACAGAGCTCCTGACTCCCAGTCCTGGGAGAATGCCAAGGTCCACAGAGCTGCCCACTTGCCCATGTTGACCTTGGATGTATCAGTATGTCCCGGAGGAACCAGAGGACCCTCTCTGCTGACCCACAGACCCATGAGCAAAAAAAAGAAATGTTTATTGTTTGAAGTCACTGACTTTTGGGTAGTTTGTTACCCCAGCAACAGATAACCGATATAACTTTAGCTGTTTTCTTACTATCTAAACATAGCCTCTGGGATTAATTAGTTAGAAAGGGAAGGTTCTTATATAGACCAAGCAGTAAATAGTCCAAAGTAGAGGTACTATAAACCATTTGGATTTACCAGATTGAGGGCAGAAAAGGGAATTCAATAGAGGTTGGGGGAAATAATTTCATGAAGTTTATTTTCTTAGAGAATGTTCTCCAAGAGAGAGAGGCCACAGTGGACTACTGGCTTTTGACCCCGAGTCCAGTGTTACGTATTTGAATTGCATTCTCTAGAAAGCTCGATACTTGCCCTGAAGTTGGGGGACACAGAGCATCAGTACAAGAGGTATGTTAGTCTGTATGTTAGTATTATAGTCTAGAAATGTGGTGTATTTTGTGATTGGCATACCTTCCCAAAGTTTTTTTTTTTTTTTTAAGGAAAAACACTTAGAAGTGTTTTTTTAATCTTGGACTGGATGTGGCCTTGGATGCAGGAGAGCCTGTGTGAAGCCCATCTTAGATCTACTTACTCTAAGGATACATGGGGTGGAATGGGGTGGGGGTGGAACTGGTAAAGTTGAACATATTTGCCTAGGTCAGTGGTTCTCAACCAGTGGCTACTTTGCCCTCTAGATGACCTTTAATAATGGCTAGAGACATTTTTGGCAGTTATCACTAGGGGGAGGAGCTGGTTGCATGGAGTGGGTAGAGGGCAAAGATGCTGCTAAACATCTTCCAGTGCAGAGGACACCTTTTCACAACAAATAGGTAGCCCCAAATGTCAACAGAGCCAAGATTGAGAGCCCTGCCTTAGGTTAAGGTGAGGTTGAAGGTCTCCAAAGAAGAAGAAGAAGAACCCATGTGAGAGAATACTTTTAACACCTGCTAAGTGGAGAGAGCACAGAGCCCGGGCCAGGTACCCACCAATCATGCAAGGATATCCTAACGTTTTTACCTGTCCTACCTGCCCTGCTTTTACCCTGTACTCCCAGCCCCTCCAGCAACACTGCAGAAGAATCAGAAGCCACAACAGTTCAGAGGGGAAGGTAGCATGATTTTGTAATGTGTAGAAGGTAACAATAAAGACCATGATGTTCTTCTCCACGGAAAAGGGGGAGATTTATAATTAAACTGGGTCTGGAATTTGGACTCTTCTACAGAACTGGACATTAGAATTACTGAGTTAGAGCCATGTTTACAGCCTCATATAAACCCTAGGATTCCCTGGAGTCAGCAGAAAATGTCTTGGGATATATTGAAATTTTACTTAGGGTATTCTAGAGGGATTTTGGGATGGACCATAAAATAAAGTTACTGATCATATTCCCTGGGTCCTGCTTGTTTTATATATTCATTACCTTCCAAGTTACTGAATAGCCACTGTGAAAGCCGGGAGCTGTCATATATACTATCTCATTTAATCACCAGAGTCGCAGAGAGCATGTATTTCTCTCTTCATGTTCGAAACAATGTGATTATTTTTACTTTGCAGGGAGAGACTCGGGGCTTAGAGATGTGAAGAAACTTCATCAGCTTTCACATCAGGGAGGGCCGGATGGTGGTGCTGCTGGCAGGTAAGTGCAGGAGGTAGTTTCAGTGATATCCATCTTGTTAACAACCCAAATGACTCTCTCTGCAGCTGGTTGAGTCTGTCTGACAGATGCATGTCCTCTCTCCCTGCAGGCTGATTGGAAGGGCTTCTCCCTGGCACTTTATTTCAACCTGGGTCACAGCCTCTGTCACATTGTTGTGTAATAATTATTTCTCATGCTATTTTTTTTTCTTGCTTGGAGGTAGTTAAGCTATTTAGATCTGAGGCTTTTTTTTTTTTAAAAAAATTTTATTCATTTTTGTCTGGTGTAGTCTGATATATAAAAGATGCCAAGTACACATAGAATAAATAATTTGTTGAGCTAAAGTCACTGCCTCCAAGGAGCTCATGCTATACGTGGGAAGACATGAGAAAAGACAGCTGTAAAATAACATGAATGGCATAAATTTCTGTTTAAAGATACCTATATGTCATTACATGGACCAGAAACAATATTGGAAAGATTCTGCACCATATGGTTAGTGGTGGTTACCTCTGGGAGGTCTGTTTCAGGGGAATTTCTCTTTCCATGTCACATATTTCTAGAAAGTTTTTATATTAAAAGGCATTTTGACCATTTAGTATTTGGTCAGAGAAAATAAGACACAAGTAAGAGTTTTAAGTGCGACTCCAGACAATGGGCGGGGCGGCGGTCAGGAAAGCCTCCAGGAGAAGGACTTTCGATCTTACTCATTCATTATTCAGGGCTTTGAAATAGATTTCCAAAAGGCATCCAAGCCCTGATCTTCCATTTGATCTTAGGATCTTGGTGCCTTTAGAAAAACCAATGCCATCTGTTTTTTTGGAGGCTGGCACCCACCCCCAGCTGCTAATTTGGACTCTGAAATCACTTTCAAAATTAATGACTTTATAAAAGGTCTGCAACTCCCTCTTAAGAGTTTAATATCATATTTATAAACTCAGTCCGGATTGAGTTCCAGCATATTGCAAATAATTTACAGTGTTGTCCTGCTCAAAGCATAACTAATGTGGATCCACAGCTGTGCAGATAACTTTTCCTATCAGCAGATGATAAACTGTAAGTGGCCCCATTTGGTTGCAGGGAAATGGTCCAGATTTTAAAAGCCAAATTGGTGCAACTGGGAGGGAAATTCTACAGTAAATGCCTGCCCTTACCTGGAAATCATTTCAATAGTAATAAATACAGCAGCCTCGTTTCTGCTAGTTATTGTACCTAGGAAGACTGAAGTTTATGTTTTTTTTTTTTTTGGTCTGCTTGCATGAATACTTTCCTGACCAACTGGTAAATAGTTTGGAAAGTGGGTCAGCCAGCTCAGGGGACCTGAGGTCAAAAGGAAAGTTCTGGAATGACTGAATGAGTGGATTAAGGTTTTGGATCTGGATCAGTTGCTCCATAAGGACGAAAGTCATAAAAGATGT